TTCTATTTCTTCCCCAGGCATTTTTCAAGTAATATTTTACTCTTCAAAATTACGCTTCAAAATACGCTAAAAAAACAGACAGATAAGTGATATTTGATCAGAGAAAAATTTGATTATTTAAAAGAGCTAAATTAAAATGAATATCAAATTATTGCTTGTATTAAAGTAGAGAAACGTTTTAAAATAAAGTAGTTTGCCTACATTGAATTATACTACTACTTTTTTCGTCCAATAGATTAAAACAATTTTGATAAACTCATTTCTTGTTACTGTAATACGATGACTGTATACATTTCCACCACGTGGTGAGATGGATTTTATCACGTTAGACGTTTCGAAACATTTCTTTTTGAGCGTGATAGAAAAAATCGTTGACGTTATAGATCGATCAAGATTAAACATCACTAGCTGGCCACTACAGTTCGATCGAGATTAGATATTCGGAATCTATTATTATTAAAAGCCAACGTTTCTTTTATAGCGTTTCGCGATATTAATACGGCTTGTCGGCAGTGGCTCTTTGAATCTTCTGCACGAGGCAAATTTGGCATTGTGCCCGTGGCCGATGTATGTCGCGAGGAACGGTGAAACGAAATCAGTCCTTCTGCTGACTTTGTCGTCATCGTTGCATCGCGACACACTGCCAAAATAGCGAACAAAGTAGCAAGAGTACTACGTCCTGTTGACGTCAACTGCACGTCGAGGAATTTTTTGAAGTATACAATCGCATATCGAATCAATGTTTTTCTTAATGATGACTGTGTTGAAGTCAATCTTAGCATGTACGGTCAATTACGGCACATAAAGTAGTATATTTTTTCTTTTGCTAATATTATATTTAATTTCTTACATTCTTTTAGCTAGCAAAGAATAGCAACGTCTTTATTTTAATGTCAAAATGACGATAAATAACGTAAGCTTGCTATTTGAGTTTATGTATAAGAAAATTATGTTGTATAGTCACTTAAAAAAATTACATACAATAAAATATTACGCGTTATAACTCGGCATTAATGCCAAGGTTTCTATTTGTAGAAGAATATCTCTATGTAAGCATATTTAAAAAGTAAGATATGAAAATACAAAGAAATGCATTTTAGACACTGAGAAAAAAGTTGCTGTTTCAAAAAATATTATAATTTATTATAGATTCAACTAAATACAGCGATCACAGATTGTCAAAGAAATAATACGTTGATATGACTCACGTATATTTAACTTAAATATTTGAATTAAATCACTTGAATTAAATTAAAGAAATTTGGCATCGCATTTCCAGCATTCAAAAATTTGTAAGAGGCAACCTTGTCTGGTACAAAATAATTTTTTTATCGTAAACGAGTATCATTTGTAGCATTAAACGCATAACCGAAAATAAAATTTAATTTGCCAAATGTACAACGGAGAATAAGAGTTAATCGAGTGAACACCAGCCGGGCAAATGTAATAATCGCGAATACGATACACACGCGGAGCATACATATCTACAGTTTCTCCTCTCATCTCTCATGGACGGATCTTGTTACGACACAAGTCTCGGGGACGATGGCTTTCTCGAGAATCATGACCTCGCGTCAGCTTTCAAGGCTTGCTGCTAACCGTTTTTGATTTTCACTACTTAACTCAGCGACGCAAAATCGACGTCAATAAATAAAGACCGTTAACGTCATCTTTCGCGACGTCTTCACTGACGCATAAGATAATCGACATTAATTCGAATAAACGTCAGATTAAGATCATATTTTATATTTCGATATGCATAAATTATACATAATTATTTTATTAATATTTCATTTCATTTATCTTATTCTGTTTTATGAATTGAAATGAAACAGATATTTTTTATATAGCATATCTTTAGATTAAATGCATTATGACAATCATATCGAAATAGTTGCGACCAACGGAAATGCGTCAATTATTTTTTTATATTTTAAATAATATTTTTGTTTTCTTGTTTGATTAAGTAAAAGAAGTTATGATAAATAAAAAGTTTTGAATGCGAACGTGATATTGTAAAATATTTCATAAAATATAATTGTGATCGTGTGTAAGAGCAACAAAGAGATGAACCTATCTGCCGGTTTCGTTTTTTTTACTCCGCTATCACAATATCGATCTCAGTGTCAATAAACGCTCATTGAGCGAAAGACTTAATCGATCATCAATGCAGCTGTCATCGGTATCGCATATCGCTTAGAAGCTGCAGTCGAGAAATTTAATACTGAATACTCCTACGCTTCCTTAATCCGTAATCAGCGTTCAGCGTAATCATCCGTGAAATCTAAGCCTTTCAACATTTATATACTGTAATATTAAACTGATGTACAGTGAGTACAAGAAGTATTCGTACAGAGAAAATATTTTTTAAAAAAACTTTATTTTTAAAAATTAAATATTATCCAGCGAGAAATGAGTCATTGAATTGATGTCGAATCGATATCGATATAATGATTTCAACACCAATTTGATGTCAATTCGATGTTTAATTGATGATCATTTTTTGCTGGGTAATTAACAATTTATTTATAAAGTATAAAATAGACTGTATGTTTCTTAAAATTATATATACCAAAAAGATGTATATTAATTATAGAAAATATATTATCTGAAAAATAAGCGAAATTTAAAAGTTCCATTGTTTGAATGCTCAAAAAATATTCATACAATCGAGAAATTTAGCTTATAATATCAGAAATACATGCGAAGCTCATTTGTATATGTTAGAATATATTCATTGTATAAAATTGCTAATAGCAGAATATATTCATTGTATAAAATTGCTAATTAATGTTTATTTTATACAAATAAGATTTTTTTTAATAAAAAATTTTCTTGTACGAATATTTTTTGCTCTCACTGTATATACATATTATATTCTATACATAAGTTCAGAAATTTGCGAGTCAATTAATACTACGCGAAGAAAATTTTCGAAAAATTAAGTAGAAAGGTCATTTGTAAATTTCTGTTTTAAGTAGCAGCTGTTGAGATAATAAGGGTGCAGTGTGGCTAATTACGGATTACATTTAGACGATTACCTGTCTATAAGTGACGCATGCGGTAGTGTAGTGAACACTCCTCTTTGGTAAGTTCGCACTTTAGCATACTCACAGATAAATGTAATTGGCCATACTTAAACTCTAAAAAACTACTGCTTAAGATAAAAATTTACAAACAATTTTTTTTACTTAATTTTGCTTAAGAGTTTTCTTATTATAATATTTTAATTTGTGAATTTCCGGATATAACCTGCATATATTTTATATTTATACATACGAAATATACTTTGCGAAATATTCAGCAATGTGTAATATATATATTAAGCTGAATATTACGTGTCATAATTGGATTGTTCATAATCGGAAAGTCCATACAAATTTTCAAACAAAAATTAAATAAAAATTTTTTCAGTTAAAAATATATAATTTTAATCTATAATATATACATCATTTTCTGTTCCACAATATTTTTTCATCTCTTTCGAGTAATTTTATAATTCTTTTCCCATAGAAGTTCTATATTTCTAAATGTCATCTACTAAAAAAATCCACAATAATTGATAATTAGTTTGCATTCTTCAATATGTTACTTGTATTTTGCACTCAACACAAAATTGATATAGTTAAATCGCACACATATAAAGTTCTCAAAAATAAATAAAGATAAGTAATTATTTTAGAACAAACACACACACAAGTGACGAATAAGTAGTTCTTCTTTCCGTGCAATTTTATTTCTCGTATCTATACTCGAGCATTCTCTTATGATTTCAGGCACGGAGAGATGCCCTCAGAAGGGAGTCGTCAAGCTGGTGGCCTCGAAACTGCTAAGGGCGCTGTCCGAGAAAGGATTGGCCTTGCTCGTCAACCACGGCATTCCAGAATGGAAGGTATAATGAGAAAAAGAGGGAGAGATGCGTTTGCAAAACGATTAGCGATCGCGAGGCTTCCTTTGATTGATCAGGCGCCGGTTTCGGTCTTGCCGATTTTTCCGTCCCTCGCAAATGTGGTCAATATCATGCGTTGTCGCAATTTACCGCCGTGACCAAATAATTTGAAGCACCAATTGAAACGAGTTGAATAATTGATGATCTTGTCACAATGTTGAAATATGTCGAGTGCCCAATTACCTGAAAAGAAATAACATTAATTATCGAGTAATTTTGTTTATAGACATTCGAGAAAATATATTAAAAAATGTTTTAGAATCAACGACTTTACTGACAATTACATAAAAATGCGTTCTATCGTCAATCTTAATTGTAATTCACAAGGCTAATTAATTAGTCATAATTAGTTAATTAAAGCGTAATTAGAAATAAGCTTTGATGCTAAATATTAAATTGTAAATGCAATATTACTTTTGTTGATATTAATTCGTGGTACATAATATCGTTGGCGTTATAATTAGTTAACAATAGCAGTTAATAATCTTCTCCTCAACTAAGAGAGAGAACTTTTATAGAGGAATGTGTCAGAGTTTCATAATTTACATAAATTAAAGATTGTTTTTCCTTCGTTATCGAACGCTTATCTCGGAATTCGATATCTTGGAGCAGCGAGTAAGTCAAGTAGCAGTTGCGTTTTCAAGGGCCCACGATAAATACAATGCTTGTGGCGCGATGGCCTTGCCGGCATTCATGCCTGCTATCGGAAACTTAACTGCGGGTGATACGGCGACGGCCGTATTGCAGTATTTCGTGCGATAATCCGCACTACGACTTACGTACTTGCAATCGCCAACGTTCGTCGATGAGTAACGGCTGCAAGAATATTACTCGTGCGTGTGCAGGCGCAAGAAAACACACTGAAAAAAAAAACAGTGCAGACGTGTCGCTAATACATCATCGCAAGAAGATAAGACGTTTTCTCAAGGATACTTTTGTAAAGTATCGCCCTGAACGAAGTTCATGAGATTTCGATTCGATCCCGAGCACTAGTCAATGCAGTAGTCAGAAGGTTCATTAAAACGCCAAGTAATCATTTATCGTTTAAGATAAATATACCGAATGAGTCTGATACAAGTCATTAAATTCAACAGGCGTGGTCTTTGTTCAACACGAACTTGATTTTTTTAATTTGTCCGTGTTATCGATCGGTAGATTGTCGGAATTAATGTTAGAGTAGTCCATGGATCCTCATGTCTTCCTTGATACTTTTTCTACGTAGAAAAGAAATGTTTGTTGAGATTAACCATCGGCTTGTATCTTGATAGAGTTGATTTACTGTTTTTGCCCCACCAATTCCAATGATCGCATTATAGCACTTCAAAAATTTCGAAGTTTACGAGAAAAAAACCGCCGCGTGTCTTCGATCGTTGAATTTTTACTGATTGTCTCAGATCTTTTCAAACAGTTTGTGTAAAAAGAAACCTTTGCATCTTTAAAATCTTTTTATTGACCGTCACAAATCTCGCGATTGAAATATAATTTGTGAGAAAAAAAAAACCTTCGCGCGTCTTCGATTATTTTTAAAGATCCGTTTTTTTATTCCTGTATTAGAATTCTCTTTCTCGCTTTCGCCAAATATCAAACATATATCTATTCATTTATGTTCCAAAAGTTTAGCCACAGAGAACAGACTTACTGACTGTTTCAGATCTCGCAATCAAATCACAATTTATGAGAAAAACATTTGTCGGACGATTTCGCAATCAAATTACAATTTGCGATAAAGAATCGTTACGCATTTTCGATCATTCTCAGCTGCTACACTGCTGTAGATTTTTGTAGAAAATCACAAACCGTGAAGCGACGGCAATGGACAATACGCGGGCAGAATATGCTGGAACAAAGCCACACTCGTCGCAATCGACGATGCACTTTGTTCCACGTACTAGTTTCCATTTCCAGTTATTGAAATAGCATGCGGATAAGCGCGCGTCGACATGCAACGATTATTCCGCGACGGAATTAGGAGCGATAATTCTCGGGTTTTTTCCTCCATCACGCCGATCTTTTCTGTCATTACGTAACGGACACATGTGATATTACGCCACCGATAATATCAGAATCAACATCGTGCTCGATCATCTTCCGTAGAGGTACTGTCCGTGGCGGCCGTGGCTAAGAGAACCGTGTCGCGTGACATATGACCCACGTGAATCACTGCTCGGTCTTCGATACGTTACATTATTCGTGACATTACCTTCCCGATATTACTTGTCATTCGAGGAATCGCGCGAATGCCGCGAATGCGGCATGTTATGACACCCTACGCAATGGCTGCGTTCAGTAAAAAAAGTAACTTTGCAACTGCTGTAAAATTCTTTGATATGATCTTGCCCTTAGCTCCTCACTGGATTTAAATGTATAAACCAATCATATAAAATATCGTACAACAGTTGCTGTTTTTTTCTGCTGAACGCAACCAGTTATACGGCGTTCGACATGTTGCGTGTATTTAAAACCGCAAAGAAAAAAACTATAAAAATGCGCAATTTCTTGAAAAGAAATCTTCGTTGAAGATCGACGCGATTAAATGAAGTAGTAATTTGAATAGTTAAATTTGAATTGTAAATGCGATTATTCGCAAGGAAAATTGAAACAAAAATCGTGTAAATCGGGTGTCAGTGTATAATTTCTCAACGATTTATTTAAGAACGATTGTTTTTATATATAATAATATTGTGACTACGTAAAAGCGATGTCGCAAACTGCAATGTGGCTCGCATCTTTTTTGCGAAAATATTAACTTCTCCATGCGCTCTGCTGCTCTTGTCTTTCCTTTTTTCGCGTTGGAATTATTTTCTAATTAGATGAAACTTATCGGTCAAAAATGTCCGATTCGCCATTTGCGAAACTGACTTATTGTTGAACGTTATCGGAATGATCTAGATATCATCGCAACGTGTTCCTCCGCGTTACGCATGTTTACCCCTTAACAATGTAACGCGAAATTTGAAAGATGCGATTATGTTGTCGAGATACAAGAGAGATACGCGAATCTTCATTCGGAGCAATAATTTTCATCGAAAGCGGATCTTCTTATCATTACGTAAATATTCGTTTTTTTCTTTCTATTATGTTTCGTTCACACCTAATGGCGACGTCAAAGCGAAAAATCTTATAATCGTTCCACCTTGCAAGCTTCGTTATAAATTTATTTTTTATATTTTGCAGATGAAGGCAGCTTACAGAGTTCTAGACACATTTTGCGAATTGCCGGATGAAACGCGAGCAAAATACGAACGCGTTTCGCCAGATAATCACGGCTACGTTAAACCAGGCACGGAGAAGTAAGTTGAAAAATTGCGTTCTCAAATTGTTTTCGTAATTGAATTTGCTGCAATTCGATTTAATGAACGTTCTCTTCTATTAACCGACCGCGATTTGTAGATTAATAATGAAAAGCAACATGTATTGTTCGGTTCCATATTCTGAAAATATTTTTGTTTCTCTCTAATAAAGTTGATTATTACATAATTATATCACTTATTTGCTATGATAACAGAACTGTAAAATTGTCAGTTTTTAGTTGCTTACAGAAAAAAGCAAATCAAGAAAAAAAAATACTTTAAAAGAACATACTTTTATTTTTATACAATCAGTTATTCGAAATTGCATTTCAAAATATAAGATTTTTATAATTCAAAATATTTAAATTCATTTTCTGGAAAACTTTGTTTTTTGATCTCTCTATCGTTGTAACAAATCATTATTGTAACAAATGAGCGGTATGTTTTGTTCACACATAAATTTTGGAGCACAATCATATATATATCTAAATTTATATTTAAATAAATTATATTTAATTTGTGAATATTTAAACTTCAAATAATTATTTTTCAGTGGATGTGGGGTATTCTTTAAAAAAGTTTATGAAATTTGCATGTATTGTAGTAGTCCCATATAAGTTTCTATCAGCGTTTTATTTAAATTGAATTTATTTTCTTATGTGATAAGATTTTCGGATGAGATGGAACTTCGCCATGCGTTTAACGTAACCGGATGTGAACGAATTCTACCGGAAGATGAGGTTCCTGGATATAGATCAGCAGTGGACGAATTAGCACGTGATTTCAAGCAACTAGCCACCATGCTTCTTACAGTAATAATCCTTGTCTTATTTAATAATTACGTTTCATTTGCATATATGAATTTAATTCCTAGATTCTGTTTATTATTTTATCTCTTTCTGTGAACATCTTTGCTCTATTATCATTTTATCTATTCTTTCGCGGTAAGAGTGAAGAATCTTGCTGTGTTTGAATTGTAACTCTCAGTGAGAGTTGTCTAGCCACTATATATAGAATGAAAAACCTGGTTTGCCGCAGGCTCTGTCTGTGGGTTTGGAACAGTCCCACAACTTCCTGTTGTCGAAGCACGCGCACATACTCGGCCCTGGCAACGCATCCACCCTGCGTCTCCTCTATTATCCGCCACTCGGTACACCGGTACAAGGACTGACCCGATGCGGCGCCCATTGCGACTATGGCACTTTCACTTTGTTGGCGCAAGTATGCAGATTACGAGATTACATTACACGCTTGCAACTTATAGTTCGTCCACTACAAAGCTACAAAATCGTAAATTTTTTGAAAAATCCTTTTCACAACGCGCTCTGTATGTAATGTATTATAAATTCTACGTATCTTTATAATTTTGTCGAAACTGACAGAGATATCTCGGCACGTTCATTCGCGCAATACAATGCGCAATTGTTTCACGATAAGCGGCTCTATCAAATAAAACATGCAGATATTTAGATGCGTCGAGAAGACTAGGCAAGAATTAAAAGATAATGAATTATTAAACATTAAGCACACAGAAGTGATTTAAATACAGTATATCGCAAATTGCGATTGAATATCAAATCGATATAAAAGTAACATTGTATTATGTGCAGTATACATTTATATGTACAGAACGCTACTAATTATTATTAATTATATCCTATAATTTATGCAAAACGATAAAATATTTTCAGGACTGCGAGGGTGGCCTTGAAATTCAAACTGGGGAAAGATGGGCTAGAGTAGGCCATCTTCCAGGCGCCATATTAGTGAACACTGGAGAGTTATTGGGACACTGGACCAACGAGCAGCTTCCAGCACTCAGACATCGTGTTGTTATGCCAGAACACTGTGGCCGCGGCCGTCATTCCATCGCTTTCTTTGTACATCCAGATGACAATATTCCTATCGAGCCGTTAGATACAAAGATCACCATAGCCAACCAGAAAACAACTCTTTGCTGCTACCCGAAAAAGAAACGTAGTGTCTTCACGGCGTGTCAGCATATTCAACGTCGTCTTCGCGAGACTTACGCGTCTTAATATGCTGTATGCGAACCTGAATATTCTGTCAGACTGACCTAATGGACCTAAAAACCGGAAGCTATAAGTCTTAGGAAACTATAAATCTTAACGCTCATCGAGTTGCAACAAAAATAAAATTTCGCGGAAATTCGAAAGAGGTTGATTTTATGGGTAGTGAAATTAAGATCACCATAAGCTACGTTTTAAAGTATGACCAACATATCTTGCTGTATATTGCTTGATATATACTATAAAAACAAATATTAAAAAGTATTACGCATAATATCCATTCCATTTAGGGTGAACAAAGGACCAGATCGCCGATAATTCTAATTCTGACGATTAACGGCATAGCTTGGCTGTCTTAATTTCACGATTTACGTTCAAGAATCAGACACCCTTACGAAGCGAAATTACGAAACTGAATGTCAAAGAAAAATGTAAAAAGAATGTAAAAGAAAATTGCGATTCTCTCAGTCAGTAATAAATAAATTTGTACTTAATTCGGAAATATTTCCATCATTCCTGTACCTAATAACTAACTCGAATGAAGAGATTATTTTGCTTCATTTAATCTTGCAATCTTTGAAATTGTTTAGAATCCAGGATCCCAGTCAGTTTCTTGTGATTTCTGATACGTTTGATAACAAATTAAAATATCCCCAGTTTTGAAAGATACTGTCGGATCTTCGAATCTCAAACCGCATTCTACATCAGTCTTGATTATTTCTGTTTCATTTTTCATATATCTCATCGACATCAATTTTCCTAAAAAGTTAAATGTAAATGTCATTTTATTTCTCTTTTAGGATTTTCTCTCATTCAAGTATTATTTTTACCGGTAAAGAGAACTTCCTGTTCACGCATCAATCGGTACGTTGCATTTTTCTTGAGTTTGCCTTTAATGCACCGACAACCCGCAACTTTTACTTTGTTTTTTTTATCTGTGATTTCGAACTCTTGCAATACATTTGCTTCACCTGTAAAGAAATCAATGGTCAAGATAAATATACGATTACTACTGTGACTCATGCTCTCTCATACCTATCACTTCTTCGGCGTCAACCCGTGGAAGTCTCAAATTTATCTCCTTTTTAACATCGTCAATGAGCTTATATATCACATTGTATGGACGGATCGATATCTTTTTTTCATTAGCTTCCTGTTGCAAGTTTTTCATTACGCCAACGTTAAAAGGATATATGATGGCTATAAATATTTCATAATATTGAGATTTATAGAGGATAATCTTAATCGATATCATGCATAATTAAAAGGATATATAATAGCTGTAAATATTTCATATTGAGATTTATAGAGGATAATACTAATCGATATCATGTATGTCTTACCATTAAACATGTCTGCCATTTGTAAATCTGTCTCTGCAACAGGTCCAACGCCATAATGAATGACATTTAATTCGCATTTGTCATCACTCCTGTAGGTGTTAAAAACGTCTAATATAGCTTCTACAGAGCCAGCGACATCACCTTTTATGATAACGTTAAGTTTAGGTTTCTCATCATCATCATCAGATCTTTCATTTCTAACAATTGCTGATAGCTTTTTATATCTGCCGATTGCTCTTCTCTTTATCTGTCGTTCCTTATATTCCTATAATTATCGAATAAAGACAGGATAAACACATGGAAATAAACAAGGTCACACAATAGTATGTATCTTTGCTATATTTTATATTACATTATATATTATAAAAAAAAACTTACTTTCAGATATTCTTCTCGCTTTTTGTCCGCTGCAATTTTATGTTCTTGCGCCAATTGTGTAGCTTTCTCCGCTTGTCTGTATCGCATTACTGTGCGTGCTTTCTTCTCATTCTCAACTTCTAATATTTCATCTCCGGCAGTAGGTAAATCCTTCCATCCGATAATCTGCACTGCATCGGATAATTTGGCTTCCGTAACTGGATTTCCGGAATGGTCGAACATAGCTCTTACTTTAGCCCACGTTAACCCGCTCACTATCATCAAATAGTTTAGTAATTTTGAAATGTTAATCAAATAAAAACATTATTAGATTAACATTTCAAAATTACTAAACTGTCTTAAAATATATTAGAAGAGAAAAAAAGGTTTATGCAAAACTTTTCAAGGATACGTTTTGTGGAACTAAATTATTTTTCTGAAGAAATCGCTTATATCGTTTTCTTTATCTTTCATATTTGAGACAAAATATTTTGCTCTTACCAAGGTATGCACCCTTTCTCAGGGTACCACGCTGAATCAAAGCTGTCGCTAATTTGCCACGGTGCGGATCGGTAAAACATTCAATTACGACAGCTTCAACTAATCCCGTTGGATCACCCTTTAATCCCACGAGTTCGGCTTGTAATGCTATAGTCTCTATCAAAGTATCTAAATTAGTTCCGTGTAAAGCTGATATATTAACGCTCTGAATGTCCCCGCCCATTGCCTCAACTTGAATCTCTTGTTCCGCAAGCAACTTTTGCGTTCTTATCTAAAATGTATATATTATAAACTATGTTGCTCTATTATTAATTATTCTGATCATTAATTATCTTATTAATTATTGATCATTAAAATAAATGTTGAAATCGCATACAATATCGGCTTCTGGTTTATCAATTTTGTTGATAGCCACGATAATCGGAACATTCGCTGCTTTTGCCATATTTATACTTTCTATGGTTTGTTCCATCACTCCATCATCTGCTGCAACCACTATTACTATAATATCAGTTACTTGTGCGCCTCTCATTCGCATAATATTAAAAGCGGCATGCCCAGGAGTATCCAAAAATGTAATCATTTCTCCCGTTTCCAATGTTACTATATTGGGATATTAGAAAAAACTTGTTAACATAATAAATAACAATAAATAAAGGGCAAAGTAAGAGTCAAACATTTTTTAAATTGTCACACAATTAAATAGAATAAATTACAAATAAAGAAAAATAAAATTGAAAAAAATAATAAAAAATTCAATTTAAATTCAAATAATTCAAGTTTCGGCTACCGGATTAAGCCCTCTCTAGACATTAACTTATCATAAAAATCTCTGTATAAAATTAATTATCAAAAATGTTCCCATATTCATTATAATCACAGCTCGGGTGAGTCTTGGTAGAACTCGACATTATTCACATACAATTGAACAGTCAAATGTGTTTCATATCTCTTGGAAAAAGTTCTAGTTGATAAAAAAGACAAAGACTTCTTACGAAAAAATAAACACAATCAAATTAACATACTGGAATTCTAACAAGTAATTAAAACTCACCAAAAATTATGTATGAATTATTCAAACAAGTGTATCCATATAAGTATTTAGTGGAACGCAGATATGCAAGACGGATATTGTGTATCGATTATAATGTACGTTCGCTGAATTGTTAACATAATGTATACAATGATAAATGCAATAAGATTGTATTATTTACCATTGAAAGCTCCAATATGTTGAGTGATACCACCAAATTCCATTTTTACAACTGATGTGTTACGTAATGTATCTAGCAATGTAGTTTTGCCATGATCAACATGGCCCATAATTGTTACTACTGGACGACGTTTTATTAGTACAGATTTATCTGGTAAAGGTCTAGTAAATAAAATATAAATGAAATATAAACAATACAAATTCTATCAATCTTATCCTATATTTGATTAAGGCCTGTTTCCACTAATGTAAATTAATTTTAATTTAATCTCGATTCAACTTTATATCTTTTCCTAATTTTTAGAACTAGAAACTAAAATGTAAGTTAAATTGAGATTAAAGTTGATCTGCATTAAGATAGAAATGGATATATAATATAGTTAATTATTAGTACCTTTTAACAACATTGCAATCCTGTGTATTCTTTTCTATTTTGTTATCTGATCTAGATATCATTTTAAACTTTGCCCCAAGTGTCCGCACAACATTATACAATATATTCGGATCCTCTATAATAGTATTTCTATCGTAACGTTTAAATGAATCAAAGAGAGAAATTGCATCCATGACATTATTTATATCCCTTCCTGCAGATGCTGCCAGTTCTGATACCGTCATTTGTTTCCATACATCCACGACTGGCAAACGTTTTTTCGGTTTGAGTTGAACAAAAATATTCTGTTGCAATAAATGATTTTAAATTTTGATATCACATACTATCTAGAAATTAAATGCTTACATATAGAGCATTCAGTGATTTTATAAATTTAAAATTGTACCTTCTTTGATTTGTTCTTGAAACATTGTGTTGTATGATAATGCCGACATTGTGTACATATGAGAAATATACTATGAAAGTTATACTTCTGTACATTATCGCTTTTAACAATATCACAGAGTGGCTGCCTCAGTAAACTGTAAATTGTAATATAAAATTACAGAAAATATACTCTCCATATATTTATGCAAGTTATTGCGTAACGATTTTAAATTTTTAAAGAGTAAGGAAAATTGATAACACTGTACAGTGTAGAAGGTTATGTTTCTCCTTTGTAAGAATATTTTAATTTTTCACAATGCTCTCATAAATGAAATACACATACTGTGCAGCAAATCTTGAAGATGCAACTTTGATCATTGTGATAATGTCTTCAGGAAAAAAAATAATCACCTAAATTTTGTACACGTTCTGATCAAGGAAGTAGCCATGTTTACATCAGCTGTTGATTACACAACCAGATTAGCTAACTTTGAAAAACTAAAGTAATTCTGTGTCTCAGCAAAGACTAGACAAATTTGAGAGCGGCCATTTCCGATCTTTTTCGTGTGACGCTCGAAAACTTCCATACACTAGCGCCACCAACATCATTTTTATGAAAACTACGTCACACATTAGAGATTTACTTTTCTGTTCCTGCACGAGGATTGCATTAGAACTGAACTAAATTGAACTAGTGCAATAAAGAACTGATGAATATAAGGGCCGCGACACAGACTTTTGCATAACGCATAACACATAGTGTGGAGTTTTGCAATTCGAACGCGACCTACCGAGCACCACCAATATCAATTCAGAGACCTGATTTCGATCACTTTTCAAAGCCTAGTTCGCTCTCTTTAATCTCTATTTTCCATGCCGAATATATAACGTGAATTTGCTTCTCATGGTCGATAGATGTCGTGCGCAGTTCGCGGCGATCGGAATTAGATCGTGAACGTCATTCATGATATGCGATAAATACATATATTATATCGTTGATAACTTTTTCATCGTCAACGTCACGTGTCGTGATCTTCAGTGCAATGTTACTTTCCTTGAATGGCCATATACTTCAGCTTGTTTGACTTTATATCACTTTCCATCCATTTTCATGTCGCCGCGGCCAGTTGCGGCAACATTCACGCTTATATCGCTGCCATCGCTGTGCGACACTGTGCGATTAGTGCGATTAGTGCGATTGTGGAGCGCGCGCGTGTGTGTGTGTGTGAGCGACCGATCTCGCACTCTAGTTGAAAGAGAAGGCCAGTGTGTATGTATGTGTATATACATATATATATATATATATATTAGAGAAAGAGAGAGAGAGGGTGAGTGAGAATGTGAACTACGAGAAGGGGGGGAGAAGTGGCCTGATCTTACACTTGCACATTCGCGAATCCAATCTCGTCTCGACTTCTTTGGGGGAACCACGTGGCCCATCCGGACACAGTGGGTATTCGACCGTGCGCGAAAGTTGACGTGTGTCGAGGTGTTTTCTCCACAGATTTGTTGATTTACTCCTCGTGAAAACAGATCGTGACGCGCAACTGTGCGCCTCTGCAACAGCTTTAGGAAATAAACGAACAAGCGAATGATCGAACGTGTCTCTCCCACGATACCGGTGCGCTTTTCACCGAGGTGAGTGTCCGCGTGAGCTTCGCGAATTAGCGATTCCTCTTTCAGTCATTTCAGTCAGTACAGTTGCTGGATCGGATGCATTGTTACGCAGTGTCTTTTCGAAGTGGTTAAAAAGAAGGGGAAAAGAAGAGTGGCGAGTGTTTTTAAAATATTACGCGAAGAAAAAAAGTGCTGACGATCGACATTTGCGATAAACTGATAATAGGTATATTTTTTTCAGCTTTTTTTTTGCATACCGCAGCCTTTCGTATATCCTTCCAATCTCTGTTATTTTTTTTCTTTCCAATATATTTGATTTCTCTCGATTGCAGGAAGAGCATGTGATCAAAAAAAAAAAAAAGGAATCCGTGACGTTTTATCGAGAGATATCACGGGCCAACGACAAAAATAGCGATTGAAAAACATCGTCGCTAACGATATCGATATTGTTTTTCGAAAGAGAAAATATCCTCAACATTCTTGAGATACGTTAAATTATGTTCTCGTACGTATGTAAGTGCTGACTAGTGCTGACTCTTCATATCGGTCGATGTTAATTTATACTAATGTTTGTTTCCTGGTTCATTAACGCGCTAGTTTACGTATAATTATTTTATTTGCATTATATAACGTGTGTGACGTTCATATTTAGCGTCGATCAATCGCTCGAATATATTCGTGTATGCGGAAAAATGATATCGACCCGTTTTAAAGGATTTATCATTTTATCGATCTATCGATATATCGTTTGTGTAAAAAATCTGCGTGCTTGATACTTCATAATATGAATTAAACGCATAAACTGTAATATATACATAGAAATATCGAATATATAGATTTGCGTAGAAACATGAGTTACATAAAAATATTAATAACTATTATTCTTTATTTTCAGCTTTCGTTATTTTATCCTGTCTATCGTTGAAGTATGTAAAAGGTTCCATATCAGTCTTATACAGAAATATAATTAACTAATTACCTTATTAAATTTAGAATTATTTAACTGTATTGTAGAATAGCTAAATCATTATTTATTCCATAATAAAGTTTCATTACAAGTACATTCATTCTGTATATTGATTCCGGTGAAACGCGAATAAAGAGCAACAGATTGTGGAAATGGGCAAACTATGTAATTAGTAATTATCTAATTTTAGCTAATACAAAATTAATTAATTGCATTATTCAATGAACAAATCAATATGTTTCCAATCAAGCATGAGCTGTTTCTGTTGTGCATTAATTCTATACATCGATTCCTGTGAAAAAAGCGAGTAAGGAGGAATCGTTCGCGGAAGAAAGTGATTTGATAATAAATTTATAACATTTATTCGTTATAAATTCACATTGCATGTACTTGTAACAAATAAAGTTTTTACGATCACCGTGTAGTATTGCGGCTTTCTGTTAACGTAAAATTGTAGCCGTGTCAGCCGAAGTAAACGCTGCATAATGCCGTAGAAATATCCTTGAAATAGAACGTGGTCCGATCGATTATTTCATTTCGATAAAGGTCGTGATTTTCCTTCGCGCCTTTCACTTCATTTCGACTGTCCTTTTGATTATGTTACGGTTCGAAGTAGAATTATTCCGCGTTTTCAGCTTTCATAAGCTCGGTGATGTTGAAACTGTCGAGTTACAATCGATTTACGTAATGAGATTCCTAAGCTGAAATATTCCGTATTTTTATAGACTCGAAAAATCCGGAGAAAAAGATTATGAGTCGGAATTTTCCTCTTTTCTTTGTGAATCGTAAAAAATATCTAGAACCATGAATAGAAACTTGCAGAATAAAATAAGGAACTTCCAAAATAAGTCAAGTTAGAGGTTTTCAAAATAAATCAAATAAATGCAAATAAATTACTGAATCGAAGTTTGTAAAATAATTTAGCTTTCAATAACGAATCCAAAAAATAATTTAGCTAACAATATTTATTGTTAATTAAAATTTTTTTTATCGATAATTATGTGGGAAATTATGTAGGAAATTATTTTTATCTTTTATCACTATACATTCATACATTTTTTGGATATTTTTTTTTTAACTTTTTTATATATCGACAGAGCAAAGTTGAAATGCGTTCGGGATTCACACATACAATTCTCTTTGAAATCTTTTTATGTAATTTTGCCAATTCATTCCAAGGCGCGCCGCGAAATTATGGTTCCGTATCCGGCTTCTATGGCAAGGACGAAGTGCAGGCGAAATTAACGACACGCTTAATGCACTCAACAATTGTGCGAAATAACTTCGAGCTCTTGCTATTGCGGCATTTCAGTTATCCGCAAAAATTGAGTCTTAAATTATTAACGCAATTTTTATTGCATTATAAATTTATTATTTATAATATATATTATTTATTATATATATGATTTATTAAAATTTACTTAATTATTAGACAAATTTAATTAACAGCGCTGTGAATTTAATATCTAACACAAAATAAAGAAGAAAAAATTTTAATAATTCCTTATCTTAGAATTCTTTATCCAATTAAGAATTTTTCTAAAGGTTTTAATTTTTAAAAGTTTATTTAGGGAAATTTAGATAAAGTAACATTTCATGGAAAAGAATAAATTTGAGAATTTATTCGAAATTCGCAGGAAATATCGTGCTGAAACTCAGGAAGAATAGTTTCAATATAGACAACTGACCTAGGTTCAGCGTACGGTAGCGCCTCGTCCAATCGATACGTCCTCGACCTTACTTAATATTGCCTCTTTCTGTTTGCCGAAGGATCATTTATATTACGACAACGGGAAGAATTTATTTGTTAAGATAAGCACAGCGATGTATTACTAATATTGTTTTCTTACGAATTGGATATGAGTAGGATTAGGCAAAATTTTGAGAAACATCGTGATTGCATATAAATAAATATTTTTATTTTGATTAATATAAAAAATTTTGTATAAAATTGTATAAAAAGGAAATACTAATATTATTGTACAATATTAATAATATTTAGGGCCGGTTGTTCCATCTTTTGATAAATTTTATCTGTTGGGTAAGTAGATTATCCAATCACATGCGCGGATTATCAGATTTACCTTACAGGTAAAATTTACCAAAAGGTGGAATAACCGGCTCTTAATCGTGTAACATAAGAATGTCTACCTAGAGACTCTAGTTACTATTGTTTTATTTTTTTTATTATATTCCTCTTTGTTGTAATTCAAATATTATGAAAATATATTTTTAGATCTATTTTTAAGTTCTACCTATTTTTAATCAAAAGTTATAATCAAAAAACCTATTTTTATTCATTATTTATTTTTTATTAGACTTCTGTCTATCATCGAGATTATTTTAATCTTAATATATGCATATATGCACGGATTTACAAGCATCTCTGATTGAATATGAACATAATTAATATTTTACTTGATTATTTAAAAAATTATAAGGTAAAATATTAATTATATAAATGTAATTAATACCTTACTTTATTATTTTGAAAATAAAGTAAGATTTTGTATCAATTCCAGATGAATCAATTTATGCGTTATATTTTATTCTATTATATAGAGCAATTTTTCGTTGCAAGACCTCAAAATTTCAAATTCTTGATACTTTGGACAATAAACAAGTGCGTTTCTCTTCTCGCATCAGGTGATAATTGTCGCGACGTCAAGATGAATGGGATGGATAGAATGGCTCGTTGCAACGAAGAATCTTTCCTGCAGCCGCTGCAACCGGTGCACACGGGTCAATCAACCCACGCTACCGCCGTTATTACGACGTCTCCCGTGACGCCTATCCTGGCAACGTGTGTTATCACCGCGGCCGACAAGGTCACTGCCACTAATATCAGTTCTATCCACGTGCCAGATGTCGAATCAGC